GTAGTAGCTGGATGGATGGGCCAGGTCGGCCCCGCCGAGCGCCGAGCGCGGACCCAGCTGTGCGACCCGCCCCCCAAACGAGGCGACACGCACACTGCTGGGGCTGCGGCGCGGCACGGGTCAAATAGTAAAAGTTTTCCAATCTTGAAATGTCTAGCTGAATGTGGTTTCAAATTAAAAGAAACATTTTTTCTTTAAAAAGTCAAGGTACATGAAATTAACCCCCCCCCCCCCCAATTCTGTCTATGGTGTCCGCCAACGGTTCAACTGAGGATGGAGTGGGTGGGAGTGGCAATCAGCTGCAGGAGTCGAGTGGGGAGGGGTGGTGGCGGCCCAGGCCCAGCTGTGATTAGATGGGGAGGGGGAGCACCTCCCGCACCGCCGCCACCCCACCGCGGCGGCTCACGCTTAGGCTCCGGCGGCGGGGGCGGACGCGACGCGGAGCCAGACACCCGCTGACACCACCCCGGCACCACCGGCCCACCCCGCCGCGCCGCGCCACGCCCCTCGCACGTAAACAACACCTGGGCGAGGTGGGGTTGCAACTGGGCCACCTCCTCCTGGACGCAGCCCGGACGGACGGACCCGGCCACCCCGCCGGCCGCACGCCAACGACTGCCAATAATTTTGGCTGATTCGCCCCGTCCACCTTCGTGTAGCCGAACTGTTATATACCGCATTGCACGCGTGCATTCAAGTTTGTCTGTGACGGCCAGTGGTGGAGGCGCCTCAAACCGCCCGAGCGAGTAGGCAACCCACCCGCACGCGTGCGATGCGGGATAGTCCAACGACGGAAGCGGGGCGCTCGGGTGATGCCAACCACCAGGCCAGCCACGGTCCAACCTCCAACCATAATGGCAGTGAGAGAAAACTGCTCTCATCACTTGGTTCATCAGCGGCGTGGTCGTGGAATTTCTAAATTGGAAATCTAAGTGATTGTGGGATGTGAGACCCGAAAGCGAACAACAACAAATCCTATCGGTGCCAGAAGCTGGGCGGCTGCTGCTATTCGGACCACTATCGAGCAGCAGCAGGGCAGGGCGGGGCGGGCTGTCAAAGTGAAAAGGTCAAGCCGCTAATGGTCCCATCTCTCTCCCTCTCTCCGGCGCCGGCCGGGCCGCAACGTCAGAGGGAGGG